AAATGACTGGAAACAAAGCCTAACTGAGGTCTCTGAGAAATGAACAACTCTAGAGAAAACCTTCCTGATTTCTTGTTTTGTTCTCAATTAGCAATTCCTCTCAAAGGCCATTACAGCAGGAAGGTGCCTAACAAGGCTCCTGCATCAGTGATTACGACGGGGCAGCAGGTGCTGCTGCCTATCCTGCACACTTGACTAGACACAGCTCCCACAGCAGGCAGGGTATCTGATGGACAGCACTACAGTTTAAACCCACACGAGTAGTTCAGCTGCCTCTGATCCCAACCCCCCATAACAGTCAGTCAGAAGCCCAGCGCTCACGTGGATGCCGTTCAGTCACACAGCAGGCACAGTGCCACCAAGAGCTGGGACCTCAGGGTGCCATGCAGAGCAGCAGCCCAAGTGTCAAGGAGTAACGCTGCAAACGTCTTCCAGCACTCCAGATAGTGTAATGAAAGCAAGGTAAGCAGCCACCTGGACTTCTAACCAGGAAGGAATGTGTCCAAAGCCACAGTGCTAGCAGCCTAGCTTGAGGACCTCCAGCCATCGCACTGAACTATTTTCCAAGCCTCTTCCAAGGCACACTTTTGCATGCTTAAAACAAACAGCGCAAGCCACCTGCTGTGCTCATGTTTAAAAGCAGTAAAAAACAGATGATGTCAGAATCAAAATGCTTATCCAGTAATAACAAAAACCCTCACAAGAGTCAATACTTGATTGCTAACTTAGAACTATGTGTAAGAGCAGAAATACCTCACACTCTCAGAGTACAATTTTAATGAAGGGAAAGCTAAACTCACTCCAATATTACAATTTTTAAAGAAAAATTTTTAAAAAAACTTCAAATTTACAGTGATAATTTAAAATTTTGCCAGCAGATGCTACAAGACATTGCACCATTTGTTGTGAACTAGAGAATAAGCCACTTCTACAGGGTAAGCAGGAGTCACACTGATGTTATTCAAATTATTATTAAAGTCGTGCTTCTATCCTGAGGATAATTTACTTTTTTCCACTAGTATGCATAGATACTTGTACAATAAGGCACCAACACCATGATTAAGCTATAACACTAAACCAAACCTACTGTTGTGATACGAAAAAAATATTCTCCATCTATGAGTGATAGCCACATCAATGCTTCCATGATTTTTCCCATCATCTCCTTTTGCAGAACTATAAGATACAGTTTCAGTATTAATTGCTGAAAAGCACTCTGTAAAATTTGTACACTTGCTTGTGAGCATAGGAACTTCCAGTGCTAAAAAAGCCAACAGGACAACTGAAGGGCTTTATGCAGCACAAATAATCTACGCTCGATATTTTCACAAAATCAAATGAATCCTATAAAACATAATTACTGTGTAGCAGTGTAATTTTCCTGTTTTCAAGCTGCTATGCTAATATTAATTTTACGTCTTAAAAATGAATATATATTAATTATCAGCATACATAAAACTATGTTAAAAACGCATATGTCTTATTCTGCATACGTACAATTACCTGTCTTTGTATAATTTCCAAAAGTATATGTCTTTGCAAGCACAAGCAGAAGCACAACGAAACCATATAGAATTAAGCTAGAAAATCCAATTTATTTATTTATTTATTTATTTAATCCATTGAAGTAATTCTAAAATGGAGAAACTGAGATCAACAATGTCTCATGTAGAAATGTTTTCTGGAAATGGAAAAATGGAAAAATTGAATTTAGAAATACCAGAAAGAAAAAAAAAATTAGAAAAATAAGAAAAGGAAGAAAACTGTGGCAATCAACAACGAGAGAGAAAATATAATAAACATTATGGATTAGATGCTGAATGAAAAATTAATTTTGTGGATATCGGTCTTCAGTGCAGAAAACCAGTAACGGTCTTAGAACACTTCTCCATAGATTAGAAAAATGAGGATAAAGTACTTGTGTCAAAATAAAGAAAAGCCTCCATTACCATCACAGTCAAAATGGTATTCATCTACAAATTCCAGCTCAGTTTTTGTTATCTGTTCATCACAGCACTCTTGAAGAGTAATAAAACCCTTTACAGCTGGCACTTGAGCAATGGGCAGGCGTTAAATTTATACCTCTTCCATGAGAGCATGCTGCAGCACAAGCTTGGCCAGCAGGCTGTCATCTCAGTATCAGGTAAACGAGAACACCAACAAATATAGCACAACTAAGGCATGTCTGTACAACTTCTGAACCCAAATTATCATTACCTATTGTTCATTCATGCTTAATGCTATAAAAGTTACTGAATTTTCAACATTTTGAGAAAGTTCTCTGCAACAGGCTATATAGGAAATAAAGATGCAGCTAGGTAAGAAACACATCTCAGATATGGATTATAAACTGCTAGAGCAGGTGCAAACCAAAACCCACCCAGTGGAGCTTTACTGGACTGAGCATCACATTGCCCAGCACAGGAAAGCACAGGGTGCTGGAGGAGCACTGTAGCTCTGCTGGGGCACTGATGCTGAAAAACAATCTTAGAGCAAGACTTCCAAAATCACCCTGTATTTGTTCCCAAAAGTAACTTAAACTCTAGAGATATCATGTGTTGCCGAAAATTTGCAAGAGGTAGGAGACCAAACCCTCTGCAAAAGTGAGAGCGGATGAAATTTTAGACCCAAAAGCAGGAAGAGTTTGAACAGCCAGTACATGAGCAGCAAGAGTCAAACCAGGCAACTCAACGTGAGGCCCAAAGAAAGCAACAGAGAATGCTGCTGAGAAACTCAGGAGGTTATCACAGAGACTGAAATAAGAGTAACAAAGAGCAAGGGAAGTGAGAAGGAAGTTTCCCCACTGTGCCAATACAGACTTCCTAGATGTGTCTCTTCCATGACAGCTGGATGCTTATCAGTTTCCCAAATGTTTAGGTAAAGCTAAAGCCAAAGACCACATAAAAAAAAAAAAAAATAACATTTCTAATAGAAAAAAAAAATAGAATTAATTGAATACTTAATTTGACCCTTTACAGACGTTAAATTTCATGAATATAAGGATCTTTTTAACAAACAAAACTCTCTTAACAAAACTGCACCACAAGAAGTGGTATTTGGGGCAATCTCATCCAGTGATGGTCAGTGCTGGGACACTACCACCTGAGCAGAGAAAGGAAGAGAGTGGATAGAAGAAGGAAGACCTAGAACTATGCTACAACTTGCACATTTTTGGGCTTACTGCTTTCAGCAAAGCAGGAAAATATACCATAATAGGTGATTATGATTCCTGAATTCAGTCTAAAGGTACTTCAGGGGTTTGTACTATGGCAGCTCCAGATACCTCATGCCTGCATCCCAGCTCCCATTTAGCACACCTCTGTTTCCTTCTGCTTCAATCTCCTGCTTCTCCCTTTTTTTCTCCCATTACATCATTCTCAGCAGTACCAACATGGACACAGGTGTGAGAGCAGCACATTTCCCTGTCAATACTGCGTGTCTGCACATGGCTCTTTTTGCCCACTCTCCCTTTCTCCCCGTTGCGGATGATGTCATCTGTTCTCACCATCTCAGCAAGCAGCTGCACAGCACTGCCTTGTAAGCATGTCTATCCTTCCACCTACTCCTGATTGCCTCCATATGGTGCTGCTGCTTCTCCTGATTTTCTCTCCAGAAAACTTGAGCTTGATATGCTCTGAACTCAACTCTTATCATTCTTCTCCAACACTTTTTGCAGATAAAACTTTTGCCATTATTGCCTGTAACATAAGAAGTAACTTGTGACTCCTTTGCCTACATTTGAACTATGTATCCAAGCTATACATAAAATCTTGTTACTACCATCCTCTATATCCACATCATTTTCCTTTTAACACTACAGCTTGACTGAAGAATTAGACAGGGAGACTGAGATTAATCTGTTTAAATTTAGACAGACTTCCCTACTTATCCTAAGTCATACTGCAAGTGAAGCAAGTAAATCTCTAATATATTACAAGGTATACATGCTTCATTTCTGGAATCCCCTTCTCCTCTTGGTATTCACCAGCTTTATGCTCTGGGGAGGCAGGAGAAGCAGAGACAGCTTTAAGGTTCAAGCAGCTGCTACTTGGCAGAGTACCCAGCACCTGCTGAGTCCAGGAGCTTCGTTCAAAGTTTCTGCAACCTTTTTTTTTTTTTTTTTTCTCTTCTACTTCACTGTAAAATTTTCTAGAAGTAGAAAAGGAACAGAGTCACAGAATCATAAAGATCAGAAAAGACCACTCAGACCACTTAGTGCAACCATCAGCCCGTCCCCACCAGGCCCATAAACCATGTCCCTCAGTGCCACATCTTCACTTTTCTTCAACACCCCCAGAGACAGGGACTCCACAACCTCCCTGTGCAGCCTGTGCCACTGCCTCACCACTTTACCTGAGAAGAAACTGTTCCTAACATCCAACCAGAACTTCCTCTGGTGCAACATAACTTCTCATCCTATTGACCATCATTTGCCTGGCAGAAGAGGCCAATGCCTGCCTCACTACAACCTCCTTTCAGGTACTTGTAGAGAGCAGTAAGGTCTAGGAAATAAACTAGAGGAATATGCAGCCATTAAAAAATAAAAAATAAAAAAGTACAATGTTACCTAAACATAAGTAGCATATTGGACAGTTGAGGAAAAAAATTAAGAAAAAAAAAAAAAAAAAAGAAAAAAGAAACATTTACACAATTGCCATTTATGATTGCACAGAACCTCACCAACATTTGACCAAACTTATCTTAATATAGTAGCCTAGATAAGAACCACGCATTAACAGTATTTTATCAAACTTTTCAGAAAAAAAAATCTTTCATATCAAGAAAAAAACATAAAATGTCCAAACCTCCATGCTTATTTGACACACAGAACCAGCAGAACATTTTTACTGAGACATTCTTAAATTACTTGCTTCTGCAAACTGATGCTAAAAATTATTATTTTTGGTTGCACAGTTTATTCATTTCTAGAAATTATTTTAGCATTAGTAGTAATTAAAACTGTGCTACACTTTCCTTACCCTTCATTAAGAAGTTGTGAGCACTGTTCATGTTGCAAACAGATTCAGAAATAAGTTACAAAACAAAAAAGTGAAAACGAAAACCCTCTGCAGTCTCCACAGAGGTTGAGAACGTAATGCAAGGCACAGCCTTACAAAAACCTCCCAAGTCTCCAGAAAAATCCATGTGAAATATTAAAAAAAAAAAGTGTAAAATTAATATTTCAACAAAATTTGCTGGCGACGCTACTATACATCCGCTGTATATGGTGATGGATCACAAGAATCTTTCCTGATTCATGAACTAAACTGAATTATTGACCCATTCTGAGGGTCTGAATAATCTCTGAACCTTAATTGAAATGTTACTAATATACAAGGGGGTGTTGACTTGTCCTGAGTATAATTTATTGAAGGTAAGACCTAAGTGTTGACTTGCATATAAACAGACTGGAGAGATTCAGCTTGGCTTACAGAAGATAGGAGGCAGTTTTATTTTGGAGATATTCCTAGGACAAAAGAAAAAACAAAATCACAAATGGAAAGGAGACAAATGCAAATATAGATCGTTGGAAGCTTTTTAAGTAATAAAGGTTTAATCCAATTTTTTTTTAGAGCATCATGTGGTTTCCAGTGTACACAAAGTGAAGAGTGAAAAGGTAAAAATAACACTGGCATAGCCTTAATATATTCCAGAATTCATAAATCATTTGTAAATTTAGTCCTTTTATAAAAGAATCCTTATATAAATCAGGGAGGGGGGGCGAGGGGGGAATCAATCCCATATATGAAGCACAGTTTAAGCCCCACATCACTGACCAATCAAAATTAGTGAATGCACTGCATCTCTCTGCAGTGAAGGGAAGCGACAAGGTAGGCTGTCATTCTGCAAAAGCTGCCCATCGCAAGCTCGCCTCTCCGAAGCTGCTCTGCTTTTTCAGAAAGCCTGAATCTCACTGGTGTCTCTGGAGACAAGAAGCCTTCAGTATGTTAAATTACTTTCATTATGTATTTTCAAATGCTTATTGATTCTACAGTAGGAAGAGTGGGAGACTGCAGCAGCCTCTAAACCAGAACTAAAGCAGTTGTATACATTAGCAGTATGCTGAAACAATGGCACACTACAGGCACAAATTCTCATTAAGGTCATTTTTCGAGGATGTGCTTTTCACCCTCTTTCCCTTCTTCTCTGCTAACAAGTGAACAAAATGAATCCCTCCAACCTGGAACTGCTTCACCTGCACCGAGAATTTATCAAACCTGTAGCGGAGGTAAGATCTGTTCCTTATTATGGTATGCAGAATAAGCAGCATTTAACAAAAACGGGGGGAAAAAAAAGAGAGAAAAGAGGAAGGTATCAGATTCAACTTGTATTAAGCACTAGGATCGTGTTGTATTTGAGTCCGGGGAATATCTGAATGCTATTTCCCCATCCCTATTAAAAACACAGTGTAGACAAATGCTATTTTGTATGAAACTCTTGCAGAATATTAAGAACCTGTTTTGTTCATACAATATAAAGCCAGTATAATTTAGGTTAATATAGTACAGGGGAGAAAAAAAAAAAAAAAAAACGAAAAAAACCATGGAATGCAACTGGGAACATTTCTTTCCTCCCTCAGCAGTATTTCCAAATATTGGCAGTTAAATATGTTACAGATTTATTCAGTTGCTCTCTAAAGGAGCCGACAGTCTGTTAATTGGTGTACACTTACTGTTTTATGAAGGTCAAGTAATATGACTAATCTCTGACTTGCTCGTGAAATCTCCCTTCTTTTCCCTGTTTGGTCGGTTTTTAAGACTTATTTCTTCCACTGTATCTCCAAAATCAAGTTGCTTACTAGAAACACTGATTTGCAGCACATTTATTTCAAGAAATACAATTTTAACAGTGTGCAAATTAAACAAAAATGTATTTCCTACAAAGTTTATTGACTTTACTCAATTTCTCATCAGCAGATCAGAGAGCTGGATGTATAAAGTAGCTGCTTCTTAGAGCTGAGTGTCACAGGCACTTTACATCCAACAGTTACTGCTTCTAGTTAGGGTTTCCTGCAACCTGCACTGTTTGCAGAATAGGAGACTTGTGCAAAAAAAATAAATTCATACAAGTCAACACAAACATGACACGATTTTACTAGGAAATAAGGAACACGATAACTGATCGTAAGATACAATTCTAGACATACTTTATTCACCAAATAAGTGATATTACAAAATATACCATTGCATTACTTTATTTTGAAATTCTAAGCCCTACTTTTAACCTTTTTTTCCCCCTCTCCTTCACAAGGGCATGCAGCAACTAATTCAGTTTTACAACTGACCGTATGAAGAGCGCAGTTGGCCGGGTACCTTTCTAGCTGTATGACCTACAAGCAGCAGGACTCACCACTACCATGCATTCTTAAGGCATAAAGGAATTAGAAACAAAACATGGAGCACACTTGTATCACCATTTACACGTCAAGAATATGTGTGGAAGACTGACGCATCTGCTCAGATTTCATTAGAAGAAGAATAAGAGTGATTCTTAAAATGGTGAGCATTTATTAAAGAGGGATTTATAATTTAAAAGCAGAACTGTGGAAACTACCGATGCATGAAGAAACAATGAAACATGAATTCCCAAAAGGAGAATATGCATTCTTCACCAGCAAGCTGCACAAGGGTTTAACCACGCTTTTTCTATACTGCTCATTAAAAATCTTATTTGTCATAATGACTAATGGATATTTTTCCCTCGATTTTATGATCTGTTATGTATTCTCCTTAAATGAAAATAAACCAAATTAGGTAACTCATGGTTACTGTCAAAGCACACGAACTGGATTTTATGATGTACAGCAACTTCTTTGACTAAGCCATCACTCAAAAGTAACGAGCAGGAATATTACAGAAAGAAATGCGCAACTGTAACTAAAGGATGTCTACATACACTCCGAGCACAGAAGGCAGACATTCTTTTTTCTTTTTTAAACCTGGAAAATAAAAGCAGGCTGCTACAAAATGCAAGAGGGGAAAGAAATTAACATCACCTAGAAGAAGGTTTGTCGTTGCTGGCCTGGAACTCGGCACAGACAAAGTATCTCAGGCAACTGAAGAGTCCCCATGTTTAATCAAAATTTTCTGCTGCTGAAGTGCTGGAGCAAAAAGAGGAAAAAAAAATCTGCAAGGAATGAAATAAGAGCCCTGCTAGCACTTGGTTTCCAGGTGACAGTGCATGTCAAATATCTGTCGGTGACACCATGTATCAATTTATGACAAGCTGCTACAAGGAGCTGAAAGACCCTTGAGGCGCAGGAAGCAGGTAGGTCACAGGCTGTGTGCCGCAGCCCCTGCTCCGCGTTGCACCGGAGCAGCACCGTGCAGAAGGGCAACGTGCCCAGTAAATTACCTCTGCTCTGACATTTACACTCATACTCACCTGAAATTAATCAATGCAACAAAGAGGTGATGTTCAATCTCTGATTTTATAGATATAGCTCATCCGAAGTTCTCAGTTGCCACAAAAATTTCAGAGTTCAGACTGTTGTGGGTTTTGGTTATTTCAGTGTTTGCTTCTGTTTTGTTGCTTTGTTTTTGTTTCTTCTTAAAGCAAGATCTGCTTTTGATTTCCTCCTGGCTTTTACTAATACGAAAGAGCTCACTGTACCCAGTGATGCATTTGGACCAGTTCTTGAAATACAGTCAAAGCCAGGACAACACACACAGAGGAAATCATGTTCCTGAGGTTTAATGTAAACCCATCAGAATTCGCCTAAACTGGAAATGAAACAAAGCTTTTGAAATATTTGTTTCATTTCACACACGAGTCTTATATGTTCTCATTTACATCTTTTGTATTTAAGAGGTAAATGTGAAATAACTGCTGAAGCATACCAAGACTTTTCATCATACAATTTGCAATTAATAGCATTGTGCAATAGAGGCTTTTCAGAACTGCAGATGAAATTCATTTGCATACCGTATCCCAAGTGTGCTCAATTCATACTTTCATTAAAAAAGCAGCTCAGTTTTGTTCACCTTAGTGCTATCCATTTTTAATGCATTCAGAGTGGAACAAAGGTCTGCATTTAAATTTTGTTTCATGCCAAGTACTTCCCCTCTTAAATTTAAAACTACTTATCAAACCCTCAAGTATCACAACAAGAAACTGAACGACCTCTTATTTATTCATCTCATTACAGCCTCTAGAGCTGGCTGACAACACAAGCAATGCATACGCCAGGTATTAACACAGATGCTCTGCTTACAACCTGCTGGTGCGTGGAAACCGAAGCACGTGCAGCCACAAAATAAACGTCCTAGATGTAATAAATGCTACTTTTGGGGGCCTCACTTACTCCTGGGATAAATACATTATGGATTTATATCTGTTGGATTTAATTTCAGTATGTAAAAAATCTGGAAGAGACGATTTTACATTTAAGTACTATTTTATAAAACTTAAATCTATTCTGGAATAAAATTAAATACTCTTCCATCAGGCACCAATTTTTTGAAGAAACAAAATATTCAAATCAGAAAGAGGAAATGTAGCATTTTTGTAATGAATTCCATTACCTCAAACCTATGTAAGCTTTATGCTGGAAATTACACATACTTATATAGACTGTAGTACGAGTTTCATACATGTAGATGCACACCAGATAGAACAGAAGTCCTCAAGTTCTATAAACATCTGTTTAATTGCAGAACTTCAGGTCTCAGTTTATGACACTCTTACAAACTCTTCATCAGGAGGCTGCTAAATTGCTGTTAGATATTTTAAGTGTTCTTTCTAGGATAAATAAGCAACAGTGCTCTGAGTTTCTAACACTCCCTTTTTTTCCACCAGAGCCTTTTAAAAACGATCTCCAGTACTAATTTGTCAATACTTAACAACATTTTGCTGAAATAGCACTCACCACAATACAAAGGCAAAGCACAAGTACAGTTTATTCAACAAATGGGCCTTTTGTAAAGGCCACATCACTATAAATAAAGCCTTGTCTCCCCTGAGTGGAAGCTTTTCATCTTTTTTTTTTAAACAAATCTTGCTTTTCTTTGAAAAGGAAAGACCTTATTCTGGATCCTCAGGTTTTTGGGTCCATGCCAAATACAGCTCTAAACATACAGTAAATTAAGAGTTTGTTAGGAATGGATGCGTTTCCTCTATCCTCCTTTCCCATCGTTTTTCTAAAATAACAGAAAGTGTTAAAAAAAGAAATCAAGTAGTTCCATGTTTATTTCACCTTTCAGGAGAAAAAGCAACTGCAACAAAAGAATGTGTTTCTCCCCCATTCTGGAAGGCAACATGCAGTTTGAATCTAACTTCACAGTTCGAGATGCCATTGATGACATCGACACCAACATGTACCGACCACTGTCATACGCATTAAGCTTTCAAGTGTCTCTCACTGGATTTTTGATGTTAGAAATCGTTTTGGGACTTGGCAGCAACCTCACCGTGCTGGTACTTTACTGTATGAAATCCAACTTAATCAATTCTGTCAGTAACATAATTACAATGAACCTTCACGTTCTTGATGTAATAATTTGTGTGGGATGTATTCCTCTAACTATAGTTATCCTTCTGCTTTCACTGGAGAGTAACACTGCTCTGATCTGCTGCTTCCACGAGGCTTGTGTCTCTTTTGCAAGCGTTTCGACCGCAATCAATGTCTTTGCTATCACTCTGGACCGATACGACATCTCTGTCAAACCTGCCAACCGAATTCTGACCATGGGAAGGGCTGTGATACTAATGACATCAATATGGATCATTTCGCTTTTTGCCTTCCTGATTCCGTTCATTGAAGTCAATTTCTTCAGTCTTCAAAGCGCAAGTACTTGGGAGAACAAGACACTGCTGTGTGTCAGTGCAAACGAGTACCACACCGAGCTAGGGATGTACTACCACCTCCTCGTCCAGATCCCAATCTTCTTCTTCACCGTGGTAGTGATGCTAATCACGTACACCAAAATACTCCAGGCTCTTAACATCCGAATCGGCACAAGATTTACAACGGGACAAAAGAAGAAAGCTAGAAAGAAAAAGACGATTTCTCTCACCACGCAGCACGAGACCACAGACATGTCGCAGAGCAGCGCAGGAAGAAACGTGGTCTTTGGCGTAAGGACTTCTGTGTCTGTGATCATTGCCCTGCGCCGAGCCGTGAAGCGGCACCGGGAGCGGCGAGAGCGGCAGAAGAGAGTCTTCAGAATGTCCCTCCTCATCATCTCCACCTTTCTGCTCTGCTGGACGCCCATCTCCGTTCTAAACACCACAATCTTGTGTTTGGGCCCAAGTGACCTTCTGGTAAAGTTGCGCTTATGTTTTCTAGTCATGGCATACGGAACAACTATTTTTCACCCTCTACTTTATGCATTCACGAGGCAAAAATTTCAGAAAGTTCTGAAAAGTAAGATGAAAAAACGAGTTGTTTCAATCGTGGAAGCAGATCCCATGCCAAATAACGCTGTCATACACAACTCATGGATAGAGCCTAAAAGGAACAAAAAGATCACCTTCGAAGACAACGAAGTAAGGCAGAAATGCTTAGTACCTCAGGTTGTCACTGACTAGACTTCAGTATTCACCAAAACACATCGAGGAACATTTGAACAAGCCGTAGAGAAATACTGCCAAATAAGAAAAACATTTTTTAACTATTGGCTAGACTGTACATTTTCCAATATCTGTGTTAAATAGAGTAGGTCTTGTATATTCGATTTCTTCATTATGTAAGATATCTGTTGCATGGCTGTTTGTTAGCGTAACACCATGTGTATATTTGTCAGAAATACTCAAGTCCTCTTTTTTAGAAAATAAATAGCCTTAAAGAAGTGCAAACTTTTGAAAATATTTGTACGGCTCAGTTTCTCTGTAAATATAAAATAATTTTTAAACAAGAATTCCACTCGGGAATCTTTCATTTTCTAAAGCACAAATTCAGCATTTTGCCTGGTATATTTTTAAACTGAATTCATAAACACTGATCAGAGATATTCTGATCACTATATAGCTACAATTTAGTCACATTTTAATCTCATATTCGGATATGCGTTTATTTACTTATTTCAAATTTCTCCAGCATCCAATCAGCATGCTCCTCAATTAATGATTCAGAACCAGTTATTTTTATTTGAATCGCATTGGTTGAAAAACTTCTAAGAAAAGAGGAGAAAAAAATTTCTTGTATATTGAAACAGTTGATGACAGTCTCAGATGTACAGTTCTGGTATGGAAAGCACAAAATATTGAATAATTATAGGAGGGGCAGAGGGACACAGTGGCAAAGATGCACTAAATGAGGGCAAAAACACAGACGAGAAAGTCACCAGTCCTGATATTAACAGGCAAGAACCAACAAAACCATTTCTGTACAGTCTCAGATGCTCATGCTATAGGGGCTTTGTAGCTGGACCTCCAGCATGACATGGGGATCTTCTGGAAATAAAATACTCATTCATACCGTCTATCACCACAGACAGATAGAGCTGTCAAGTGCCACAGCTAATTTAGAAACCATTTTCTTGGCCTCATTAGCTTTCATATTATTTTGGTTTCATCTTTGCTCCAGTGACGTTCAGTTCTGGTCATGCAACTGCTGTAATAAAAGCCAAATCCCATGATGGCTAGCTAACCTATTTCTGGATATTCTGGACAGATGTATCATACCATCATTATATATCCCCTCTTTTTCCATTTCATCTCATGCCTTCAATGAATAGACAGAAAGCCTTCAGAAGCCATCATCTATAGCACTGCAAGCAAGAACTGAGATACTCATCCCCCCACTTTTTCTGGAGGGTGGTTTGAACTATTCCATATATAAAAACCTCAGTATTTCAGTGAATAGTGGCTACATTAATTGACCTTTAAAAAACCTACAGAAACAATTAGTGAGAATGATTTAACTTGTCTGGCTATATAGGCTCCTCAGTGTATCACCTGCTACCATGATAATTAGAAGGATAATTCTCAGTAAGCACTGGGTTCTATTAAAAAACAAACAAACAAACAAGCAAACAATCCAACAGAACATATCCTTGAATATCAGAGCTACTTTGACTGAAGTATTACGAAAAAACTGAGTATTTCTGAAGTGCTTCTCCATAGTTGCCTAGGCAAAAAATTGTGGTTTTAAGGGAGCAAAATGTTATTTTCCATCACACCTGTATTGCCAACACTTTTTGTGGTTTCAAAAGAGAAAAGAATAAGAAATGAAAAGCTGTACATGTGATGAACCTCAGTTTACCCAAACAGAAGACACTAACTGATGCTCCATATTCCACAAAGACCAGGAACTTAAAATTATCCAAGTTCTACCTATACATTCTATTATCTAACTGGTAATAATTTGATTTCTAAAATTATGGTGCAATATATATTCAAAGATAACTAAATTGGCTTTGTTCTAAAAGCTAAACCAACTGTATCAGCATTCAGACGTATCTGCTTATAAACAGTGTGGATCAGTGTGAATTTCAACCAAGCAAGACCTAGGTTCTGATAAGAATAGAAATCCTTCCTTTTATTCAGAGGGAAACTTAATACTAGTAGATTTTTATATTCTTTTTTAATCCCATATGTCCCAAATTTAACACTTAAAAAAAAAAACAAACAAAAAAAAACTCCTGCATGAGTAAGCTCTTGTGAGAAGATGTGAATCCAAAAACCTAGAACTGGTATATTTTTCTTTTTTTGTAACACTTCCTCCCTTCTCTGACTAGCAAATGTTCTGCAGATTGCAAACATTAGCAGGAGGAGAAAGTGGGATCTCTAAGATTAATGGCATAATATGATTTATCTGATTACTTATCTTCCAATAAGGCATTCTTAAATGAATTTAAAATATCATTCACTTATTTTAAAAAAAGAAAAAGAGAAATAATGACCCCAGCACATGAACAATCTTGTAATTACTCATGTTCTTATCTGAAATAATCATTTAAAAAAAGACTGCAGACTGAAAAGGTTTGTTTACACCACGGCTTTACTTGTAAAAACTAACTAAAACCTCAAGTACCACGTATTTAGCGTTTAAGGGCTCATCCATTAGAAAGCCAGAATCAGGGATGTAGTACTTCATAACAAAGAGAAAACATAACCGAGGAATCGGAGCAAGAGATTAAAGCAGCTTTCAAAGGCTACGTGATTGCCAGTAAGAATATAAGCAGGTCCATTTGTACATTTACTGTTCCTCATCCTTCATGAAACGCGGCAAAGGAAAAGGACTTACACGACACTGGAGTACACTTGGAGGTCTGCAGAAAGAAATTCTGCACAGAGCAGGGAGTCAGAAATATGTGCAGTTGAATATACGTGCAGGAGTCATTACAAAACAGAAGCATACGCGGTCTGTACCGCAAAGATGACAGATTTAACACAAACAAGACAAAATAAAGAGCAACTGGTGAAGCAAGACTGCGTATCCTGCAGATACTGAAGAGGATTTTGGGAGGGATGTGAAGGTGTGCCGTGGGTGCTTGACAGACAAAGACTAAAACAGAACGCAAGAAATAGGCAGCATCAGTGGAGTGAAAAGGGCAAATATCTGCCGTGGTATTGTACAATAAGAAGCCCACTACATTCTTAAAAATGATCTCATCACAGTGAGTCATTAGTTCAATTACATTTCACACCATTCAGCCTAAGGCAAGCAGAACTGTACAGGACTCTAAAAATGCTAATTCCAGCAAATGCATTGTGGCAATTTGAGCAATAAACACCAGTTTGCACGTACTCACCGTCCCTGGGGTATTAGCTGATATCTGACCACGTTTTCTTCTAACTTGCAAATGTAGTTCCGCTCAATTTTACACTATGAAATGAGGTCAGCCCCACTAAAAATACAAAAAGCTGAAGAGAATGCCAACAGCTATTACAGTGCCCGAGAGCCATACCTGAACAAACCAGCACAGCACAAAGCAGTGAAACAGAGATGTAAATAGATCTCAAACACCTCGTTTCAAGACAGCAACAATTTTTACAGGTTACAACACACTGCTACCTGGTCAGAAGTTCTGTTTGCTTCATTAGTACCAGGGGATTAAGAACTGCTACAATGACTTCTAGATATATTAGATCAGAAATGTATACATCTGGATACATATTAAATCAATACAGTTTTCTTCTTTCAATGTTATCTAAATCCACACACACACACACACACACACACACACACACACACAGTACATCGTTATTATATATCTGCACATACCCGAAGTAGAGTTCAATACTAGCATCTATTTCATATTTATATGGCAGTGTTTTTCATAAGTGCATCTCTGGACTAAACAGACACTATGTTCCACCACACACATACTTCAATACCTTCTCTTATTGTTTGTTTTTTGTTTTTTTTTCCAATAGGATATATGGTTTACCTTTTAGAAGGAATTTTTTTCTGCTCTATTAACCACTATGTACATCCTACTGCAGTGCACATGATAGCTCTTTCTCAGCATTGGTGTATGTGCCAGTCATCAGTATTCCCTGATATCTGAGTGTTGTAGACATGTTTTTTCCTCTGAAGAAAAGTGTTATAGTCACCAATTGTCGTTAAAATCTTTTAAAAAAGAAGAAACTGCAGCATTCCTTTAGCAAATTTCCAAGGTAGTACTGAAAGATACAGAATAGACCAACTTACCCTTCCCCACCATACAAGCAAAATGCCTCAAAGGTACAGCTGAGGACAATCGGCTTCAGACTTAAGACCTTAAGCTTCACAAAAGCCAAACCCCCCTCCCACTTCACACATCCTGCAGCAATATCACTGAATTCATTTGTCTTACACTAAAGGCAGAGAAGAACTTCACTGTGTAATTACCTTGCCCCAACTCACAGAACAATCTCACAGGTTAACAGGAAAATTAAATACGGGCGTTGCTTTTTGCTTTGCTGGGGGTTATGTGGAAAACAATACAACAAAGAGATGGCCTAACTGACTAATAGGAAAATCAGGATCGACTCATACTCAATGGCTGTTAATGAAGGATGCAAAGTACACTGAGAATACAGTTCAACAGCAAAAGGGCAGGAGGCGGAAGGAACACTGTGAGGAGACCGGGGTCATTGCGACTGCAGAAAGGTGGAGGGCAACGAGCACTTGTCACAAGGAGCATGCTAACCTTGTTCCTCATATTGTAACAGAAACCCACAACAGCTGGTCTTTGAATCATCAAGTGTGATGAGTGCTTTTCACAAAACCGCTAGGAGCAGCAGGGAGAGCCACATGACTAGCAGCTCCAAAGGCTCTGATTTAATGAGCTGTATGCAGAATAACAGCCAAACCCAGCGTTATCCCACTGGCTCTCTGACTAGAGATACACCATACATTCTGCTGAGTACAATGTGCTTACAGAGCACAAGCAGTCTAAGAACGGAGCTGAAACTAAAACATTAGATGTCTGTTCCCAGTGATAAATCTTAAAAATTCAACTGAATTTTCCTTCACTTTGGCATTGGTCAGATAACTTCATTTTGTCTTGATGCTTCAGAAGCGTCACAACCACAATGTGCTTTCAATTATTTCCTCTTTATCTTAATTTATTTTTGTAGAGTATTAAATTGAAGCACAAATGTCATTAGAGACTTCAACATTATTTAAAAGAATACAACTATTATAAACTGAGTCAGAGGGAAGAAATCTTTTCTATTGCATTTATTTGGACCCCTCACAACAATAAAAGACATTGAGGCCATGGAACGTGTGCAGAGAAGGGCAACAAAACTGACGAGGGGTGTTGAGCGCAAGTCTTATGAGGAGCGGCTGAGGGAGCTGGGATTGTTTAGTCTGGAGAAGAGGAGGCTCAGGGGAGACCTCACTGCAC